CTTGTGAAAACAGAGTCAGGTGAAACTGGAAACAGTGCCATGGCACATTATTGGGTGCAGAAGGCCCCAGAATGATGGGAACAAACCCTAAAGAAGTTTACTGACTACCCCCAGAGTTCACCACAGCTCTACGCTTACATCAATCCCTCCAGTGTCTTGAGTGTTTTTGTTGCATTTCTCTGAATTCTTTGCAATTTGTCAAAATCTGTCTGGTATTCAGTACTGAGAACCTCAATACAACATCCCAGGTGCATTTGCACCAGATATATAGAGAGGGACTATGCTCTGTGATATGCTAGCAGTCATTAAATTACTCCTATCTGTTGTCTACCTAGCAGTATCTTCCCACAACATACTCCTCCCCGCCCCACAAAGTTCTTTGGCTTGTCACATCTCCAATAAAGGCTGCAGGCAACTCCAAAAACAGAACAAAGCAAACATTTCAATGAGAATTATGAAAAATAAGTTATCACAAAAACATCCTGTTTTCCTTCAGATTCTCTCTCTCTCACTATAGGCTACACCCCACCCTGCCTGTTTTCAGAGGGACTGATTATGGGCACTGGGTTTTGGAAACTTTCTCAGTCACTTTTCCAATTCTTATCTGAACAGCCTGTTTGTTCACTATGGGGTGGGGGATGAGTGGTGCAGAAGGGGAAGAGAACGGGGTGAGAGAGAGTGTCTCCCCCTCCCCCAACACTTTCACGTATAGTCTCTGACAACCTCAGTGAGAGGGGAAACAGGAGAATTAGGAACAGCATCATTTTCTGATCCCAGTGATTGAAACATTTACTGGTAAATCTGGGCCCCTGGCAGTGATGGGGAGGATCATATATATTCCTGCTAAAATACACATGCCAGCGCCTGTGTAATGGGGTTGATGATATCCTCTTGTGCCATGGTGATGAGGGTACCCCTGAGAATGTGTATATGTTAGAGCTCTAACCAGGGGCACCCACAGAATGAGGGGGATTTGGCAACCTGCAAATCTCCAACTTTCATCCATGGGCAATGAATGATGTGCAGATCAAGCCATTCTTTAGGGACCATCTCTGGAAGACCACACCTACATTTTAGTTGCCAACCACTGGAATTATACCAGCTGACAAACACTGGCTGGCTGGCACAATCCTATTGCCATTTGGAGATGGTACTTCTGGAATAAAGTACTGGTGCACAGTGGGTGTGATGACTGCAAGTGAGGGTAGCACGGGAGTGAGTGAATGAGTGTAAGATTGGCGGCCATGTGAATGTGTGCTAATACAATGTGGGTGTAAATAGGAGTGGATGTTTCTGACTGTACTACAGAAGTGTAGAGATTTGAATGTGTATGTAGATTTAGTAGTGTAATATCAGCATGTGGGTTTCTGGAATGGTAGCATAGGTATCCATGAAGGAGTGTGTAACTGGTCTGAGTGAGTACACTGGTGTAATGTAGGAATGTGTGCAGATGTAATGTAGGCTATGTAGGTGTTTATGAGTGTACATGTGAATTGGTGTCATGTAGGTGTCTGAAGATGACAGTACAGATGAAATCAAGGCGGCTATGGAGGCGGATGTCATATAGTGTGCTGATATCAGATGCTCTCATGGCTGTGTCTAGGTGTGAACGGCTGTAACATGCATAGTTGTCTGAGAACAGCAAATCAGCTAAACAGTTTCCTTCCTTATTTCTCATACCAAGATGCAATTTGTATAGAAATAACAATTCTACACGAAGCACAACAATCAGCGGCTAGACCCAATGCTTCCCCTAAGGGGCCTGGGGTGGAAGAGGTATAGTTTGCTACTGTGAATTTAAAAAAAAAAAAAAAGCACATATTTTTAAAAATAAGTCAGAATCCTACATAGATTATGAATAAGGGGACTCAGCATCTCTTGGCTAATTAGAGTGAATGTCCACTAGGTCTTCAGGCTGGTGGCTAAATTTTTTTTTAAAAATACTGATGTGTTCATCATCTGATATACCTAAGCAGAAGATGCAGCCTGACTAGTGTTTGTTTAGAATAGAAGCTCTTGGATCACATCCATTGAAGTCCTGGTAGCAGTGTAACACGTTACCACACAGGAGATTTGTGTGCAGTGCAAGGGTAGTCCCAGGACTTTCTCATTTCCAAGGTCTGTGCAGCTAAGGCTCAATGAAGAGGGACAGATTGGAGAAGCACTCCACATTCAAACATTGACCCCAGCCTCATGCAATTGGAAATTTCAGGAGAACCTTATTCTGGTTTCACTCTATATACATCCGAAGAAGTGGGTTGTAGCCCACGAAAGCTTATGCTCTAATAAATTTGTTAGTCTCTAAGGTGCCACAAGTACTCCTGTTCTTTTTGCGGATACAGACTAACACGGCTGCTACTCTGAAACTTATTCTGGTTGTGGTCCTAGCTGGAACTCAGACTACAGAGATGCTCAAAAATAACTTGAAGACAAAGATAAGCCATATACAATTTTGTTCACCAGGAGAACTTTACAAAGCCTTTGACAACCCCTTGTATTTAGTTGCTAGAACACAGAGGAGCCAGAAGACACTGCAAGCCACTATATCTCCCATGCTGGCCGTGTTCTAAAAACAACAGAGAGATTTCATTTCTAAATATTTGCTATGTAATTCATATTTGAATAACATGGCTCAAAGCTAAATAGTAATACCCTGAAAAAGTTGATTTCAGCAAATTATAAGTCTTTTTTAAGAGTAAACATGATAGATTTTCTCTTTTCTTCTATAAGGAGCATGTATAAATTATTGGGAGTCACTAAAAGATGCTATTACAAATTCTCTTTCAAGCTCCATTTGACTGACTGTATAGACTGTTCGATCTTGGAGAAATGTGTTTTGTTAGTTAGGATATAGTTCTTTTGAGAAGCTGTGCATATCACTAGTGAAGCTCCTTGCTGCTGTAGTGTTTCTCTGAGCGAATCCTTTATTATCTGCAGGGGCACTGCCTGCAATATAGACCCAGTCAAGCCAACAAAAACATTATGTGGGGCCAACATTACATGACACAGTGTTGTGAGGTGAGGTGGTGTATCAGACCAGGGCTTTTATTTTTTTTACACTTTAATTATTTTTCTTGTCCACATTCCAGATTACGATACTGTATTATTTTAAAATTAATAAAGACATTAAAAAATTAACCCAGCTTTTCTTTCAATTTTAGAAAATGTTCAAGTTTTGAACAAAAGTTCTGGAAGGTTATTTTGTTTGAATCAATTTGTCCATCCCTAATCCCTAAATTCCAGGGGCAAGGAGATACACGCATTAATATTCACTCCTCCTTGCCTTTGCTGGCTGGATTTGCTGTCAGAATGATAGAGGAAAGGTGCTGCTATGGAGGATGAAAAGGTAGTGATGCCCCAATATGAAAGGGTAGGAGAAAAGATCAGTTCTGGCTGGACACAGAGAAAAGGAGACCAGAAGTTGAACTTCGGTTCTGATGATATCCCCTCCAGATTGCTCGCCAGCACTTTGTAACAACCGTAGAAGAGACTGGCCCCAGAGAACCCACTGAGCCTAGTGCACAGTGGAACAGGACTTGGGTGGTCTTGTCAGTGCTGTGTGGTTAGGATATAGATCTTTTGAGAAGGCAGCAATGATCAATAACATTTTTAGTTCTGCAAAGCAGTCGAGTCTCAGTGCCTTGATTTTGAGCTCCCAGCCACATGGGACAAAACTGATAATCAGGCCATTGAAAACATCGCCATCACTAGGATTGCATTGCAAACAGGCAGCTGCAGAGCTCTGACATACCTCTCTTAGCTCAGAGTTCATAATAGGTTTAGATTAGGGTAGCCACGTTTTTGTGTTGAAATCCCCCCCCCCCCCCCCCAAAAAAGGTTTGTTATTTTTCAATGTTAAGAGATATGGCAGAGAACGCAGTCCCCTCCACCCCCAGTTGCTAGCACCAATAGCTCCTCTTGGCCCACTGCAGCTGTCCTGCTAACACAATAGGTGTGAAGCTTAACCTGCTATTTATGGATGGAGAGCAGAACTGACCAGCATTTGAAACATTGTCATGTGATATTTATCTAGTACTTTACATCCCAAAGGATCCCAAACATTACTGACATAGGAAACACTTCACCTACCACTGAAATGCAAGCACCTCTGGAGTGGAACACATCAGTTGTTTCACAATAAACAGGGACACCACAGAACAGTTTCAGAAAGGAAGAAGAAATTTGTAGCCAAATGAACCTGCAGGGGGGATTTGGGTTTGTAATAACCCAAGGCAGAATTTTGGTTATCAGGAGACCCGGGCTAATATCTTTACCAAAAATCCCAAGTGAAAAGCATAGAGTGGTGAGTTAAGCATTTCAAAGACTGTTGATGTTACTCTGAATCTAGTGGCATCTACACTTCTCCCTTTAATGCCAAATACTGGATTGTTTATATTACATAGCACTGATTAAATGATATCATGCCATCATTTGTATAGAAATAAACTACTAAGATCAGTGTGACACCAACAGAAACTGCATCTGCTCCTTTCCAGATTTTAGGCATAACTCACATCTTTTATTTTTAGCCATAAAATAGCCCGGGGGCTGATGGAGATTCATTGTTGAATATTAGTGCACAGTGAGATGGAGTAGGGAGATATTTGTATGACCTCCTATTACAGCTTTCTAATGGAGAGAATGACAGGCAGGTTACAGGCCAGTTGAATGGCTTGAGAAGTTAAACCTACCATGTGAGACAAAATAATACCTAACCCCTTAGATGGAGGCACTGCAACTTGTGGACCCTCAGGAAAAAAGACAACAGTTTTCAGACCGATTCTAAGTGGGAATAAACATGGGCTTAGTAAACAGAAGTGGCGGAAAGTTAAGCAAATGAAGTGGGTAGAAGGAATGTGAAAAAGACCAAGGGATTTGCTTACTGGTTCCTAGCATGGAAACACACCGTTTCTGCAGACCAATTAAAGCACATGCCGGAGCCCCAAACACAACTCAGCTGTGCTTTCATCTCCCCTTTAACATGCCAGCCATGTACTTGCCTTCCCCCACTCCTGCATCCACACTCTTGGGTCTTCTTCGCTCTGTCCCTTGGGCAGATTAGCCTTCTGTTGAGGAGTCATCCTCCTGGCTGGGTGCTGGTCCTTCTTCTGAGTACATGATTTATTCCCAACCTCACATGTTTGTCTATCGCCACAGTCAGAGGGGAGAGAGGGGAAAATCCCAAGGAGGGGGGGAGTTGTTACTGGGTCTATTTTACAAGTCCCAGTTGTTGGAGTATCCGTCAGATAATCCTTGGATTCCGTTAGGTGCTGCCAGCTCCAGAGCACAGGAGCAAGTGACCGGAGCGAGTAACATTGCCTGCTTGCTTTTTCTGATCAGCTGAGAGGGGATCCAGCTAAGTTCCTCCTACTTGCACTGCCTAAATAAGGACATTGACTCACAGTTGGCTACACGGTGCTCCTTTCTGCAAGCACTTACTGCTAACAGCAATCTTGCTCTTTAACTAAAATGCTGCACAAAGTGAGCATAGAAAAGGAACCTGAACTCAGAGTCTGAGATCACAAGGGGATCCTTCATTCTTGAAATAAGGGGCAGGAGTCCTTGCTTTGCCAAATGCAGAACTCCCTGAGGATGGAATTCTATCGATTCACAACAGAACACAACACTTCTGAGGTTCTGGTTCTGACAAAACACAGTTCTGGGCTGCTTCCTGCTTTTTTTAAAAAAAGAAGCACTGCAGTGCCTCGATCGCTGCCGAGGCTGGGCAAGAATGACTTTCAAACAGAAAGTTTTCTTGTTTACACAGCACAGGCTTCCAGTGACTTAAAAATACATGTTCGTTATTCCATCTTCCTTGAAAAGCAATGGTTTGAATTATACCCTCTGTTTTATTTAAGGCCTAATCCAAATAGGGTGACCAGATAGCAAATGTGAAAAATCGGGACGGGGTGGGGGGTAATAGGCGCCTATATAAGAAAAAGACCCCAAAATCGGGACTGTCCCTATAAAATCGGGACATCTGGTCACCCTAAATCCAAAGCCTACTAAAGAAAATGGAAAAAACTCCTCCTGGCTTCAGTGGGCTTTGGATCAGGCCTGTATGAACTCAGAAAGTTTTGCAAGCCCCTCAAAAGTTGAGGAGGTTTGGGAAGGCTCAAGCAATACCTCTTTTTCGCCTGCTGAATCTTTCTGCACATTCCAGATATTAGGAAACAACCTGGTCTTTATTAGAACAGCAAACCCTTCCCCTAGCAAATCAGCCAGGCATTTCCCATTCTGTATTCTTTCCAGATAAACTCAAGATGTGAAAGCAGAGTGGAAAAATTCACACCACTGATGAAACCAGGAGGAATGTCACGTTTCAGGGTTGAGCGCATGAGACAAACAAACCTTCATGTTTTCACCTCACATTTTTCTCCATGTGGCAAAAAAGTAAATAAAAAATAATAATAATAATAAAAAAGGAAGGTAGTTTACTGGGGAAAAGGCAGAATCTCTGTTGAATATGGACATTTCCACACAGGGTAAAACCTGCCATTTGTTCCAGAGTAGAAGCTGCACATATCTTTCTTTGACCAAAAAAAACACATTTTAAAGCATTAGCGGCAAAATCATGCCGTTGACCAAATTCTTGCCCCATAGTGCAGAATCTCAGTTTTTGCAGAATAAAAATTCACAAAGCCAGAATTGGTACCATTCGTGACTTGGTCTAGCAGCCAGTGGACAGCTATCTGCATCTGCATCACCCCAGAGTTGGCACTAACAGGTTCCTTTTCTGAGCAGACTCAACTGTGAGGCCAGGGACTGAATGGGCCAGGGATAATGAACAATGCCCCCACTCTGAGAAGTGGCTGCTCCATGTCAGGGGTGAAGCATGGTGGTATGGGGGAAACTTGCCCTGCTACTGCCCATGCTGTTCCCATTCTGGGATAGAAGACTACAGGCTCTGGGGCTGTTATCCTGGTACCCTTCACCACCAACACTAGGTTCACTTTACCTTGTCACGTGTTTGTTGAGTCTTCTCCAAAAAGAGTTTGCAATCTAATTTGAGAGAAGGTACCATATCTTCTTCTAAGTTTGTGCAGCACCTAGCACAATGTAACCTCAATCCTGATTGCAACCTCTAAGTTCTACCACAATACTATGCAAATAAATAAATAGATAGGTACGCATGGACGCACACGTTGGCCACACATTCATTCCATAAAACACTCTATGGTGAGAGCTCTACAGAAATTCTTTTGAGAGTATAAATCCATGCAGTGATGACATACATTCTTCCCTGGGACTATTTCCGTAATTCCTTCCCCCATGTCAATAAAAGTCATAATTGCAGCACACTGCATGGATCTGAAACAACCTGCCATGGCAGACACCCAATTTTCCACTCTTCTGTTCCTTTCATGGAGAATTTACAATCCACTGACCCTCTCCTTGAGGCTAAACATAGGTATGTGTCTTGTTTGTAACACTGTGTGAGAGAATCGACGAATGATAAACACAGTGGATCATAAAGAGCAGATTAATGGGAAGGTGAGTGCATTTAATAATGCAAATCCTTGCTTTTGGAAAGATCTCTATGGGCGTCTATTGCTTTGTTCCTTGTTTTTATTAGGCAAACATTTTTGGGAAGCTGTGGCTCAGCACTGGTCTTTGCCAGACCAATGTCTTTCCAGCCTGTTTGGATGCCAAGACACACTGGCAAGACCAGTATTGTTCCCTCTGGGTATCTACTCTTTTCTACAATTGGATATTTGACAGGAACATTGTGTCACTTGAGTAACTCACCACTTTTATCCACCTTTCTTTAAAAAAAAAAACAGTGAACTCTGCACTGGTGAAAGGTGCAGCTAGACACCCTCGGAGACTGAGCCCTGGAGTGGAGAAACCATCTCTGTATGTGAGAGGGTCAGTCAGTCTCATTGGTCTATTCAGTCCTTGGCCTCTTTTGGAGCCTGCCAACAAGGAAGGCAGTTAATGCCAATTGTGTTTGTGGGCATTGTCATGAAGTGATTATTTATTAGTACTACCATAATATAGGAGGCTGGGGTTTTCAAAAGACCCTAAGGGAGATAGGTGCCCAAATCCCATTGAAAGTCAGTGGCAGGCTAAAATCCTTAGGCACTACTTTAAAATACCAGCTGGTTTTCTAATGTCCCCCCATCAACACAGTTTCTTGGCCCCATATATGTAGCTAAGGGATATGTGTGACGTTCCCCTGGTGTTATCTGGACCGGTGATTCGCTAAGTCACTCCAATCCTTGACTCTGGGAGCCAGCCTTCCCTGCTCTGCTGTGAGAACCCCCACTCCTGGGCTGTTCACGTACAGCCTCTCTGGCATGTAAGCTGCTTGGATTGTGCCAATACCCCCGGTCCCAGACACAACCCTAGGAACCTCTGTCTTGCAGTGTCCAGTATGACCGCTGGACACTGCAAGCTTATATGAGTTTGTCAATTTAACAAAGAAATGTATATGCACCAGGCTTGTTATCTCAAGGGGAGTCTCTGACATGCTTCAAACCTAACGCACTGCTTCAGGCAGAATAAACAAACAGATTTGTTAACTACAAAGATAGATTTTAAGTGATTATAAGTCAAAGCACAAGTCAGATTTGGTCAAATGAAATAAAAGCAAAACGCATTCTAAGCTGATCTTAACACTTTCAGGGCCCTTACAAACTTAGATGTTTCTCACCACAGGCTGGCTGGTTGCCCTTCAGCCTGGCTCTCCCCTTTGATCAGCACTTCAGTCGCTTGGTGGTGATGTCTGTAGATGGAGGTGAAAGAGAGAGGAAGAGCATGGCAAACGTCTCTCCCTTTTATCATGTTCTTTCTTCCCTCTTGGCTTTGCCCCCCCCCCGAGTCAGGTGAGCATTACCTCATCGTAGTCCCAAACTGACCAAAGGAAGTGGGGTGACTCATTCGAGAGTCCAACAGATCCTTTGTTGCTGCCTAGGCCAGTGTCCTTTATTCCTGTGAGGCTGGGCTGGGTTTGTTCCATACATGCCCTGATGAGATGTGAACTGCCCCTCTGCTCTTGGAGAGTTTTTGCTTGGGCTTGTTTTAAGCCATGAGGACACATTTTCAGCCTCATAACTATATACATGAAATTACAACCTATAACATTACTATAACAACAATTACTGTAACATCACTATAACAATAATGCTCAGTGCATCATGAGCCTTCTGAAGACACCTGACATGACAAGCTTTGCATTGGATACCACACAATCATTTTATAAGGATGAACATGGAGGTGTAGGGTGTTATGTCAGTTCCATCTGAGACTGGCCCAAACTCCTTGCATACCTCCTTTACCATTGCTCTCTAAAGTGGTCTCTAAAGTCCAGAGTTGCTGTCTGACAGGGCAGAGTAGTTTCATAGATTCTAAGGCCTGGTCTACACTACGATTTTAGGTCGAATTTAGCAGCGTTACCTCGATTTAAGCCTGGACCCATCCACACAACGAAGCCCTTTTTTTCGACTTAAAGGGCTCTTTAAATCGATTTCTTTACTCCACTTCCGACGAGGGGATTAGCGCTGAAATCGGCCTTGCCGGGTTGAATTTGGGGTAGTGTGGACGCAATTCGACGGTATTGGCCTCCGGGAGCTATCCCAGAGTGCTCCATTGTGACCGCTCTGGACAGCGCTCTCAACTCAGATGCACTGGCCAGGTAGACAGGAAAAGGTCCACGAACGTTTGAATCTCATTTCCTGTTTGGCCAGCCTGGCAAGGTGCAGGTGAGTGCAGATCTCATCAGCAGAGGTGACCATGGAGTCCCAGGATCGCAAAAGAGCTCCAGCATGGACAGAACAGGAGGTACGGGATCTCATCGCTGTATGGAGAGACAGATCTATGCTAGCTGAACTCTGTTCCAGTAAATGAAATGCCAAAACATTTGAAAAAGTCTCCAAGGGCACGAAGGACAGAGGCTATAACAGGGACGCAAAGCAGTGCTGCGTGACAATGAAGGAGCTAAGGCAAGCCTACCAAAAAACCAGAGAGGCAAACAGCCGCTCTGGGTCAGAGTCCCGAACATGCCGCTTCTATGATAAGCTGCATGCCATGCTAGGGGGTGCAGCCACCACTGCCTCAACCCTGTGCTTTGACTCCGTCAAAGGAGAATCACACAACACGGAAGCGGGTTTTGGAGACGAGGAAGATAATGATGAAGAGATTGAAGATAGCTCACAGCCAGGAAGCGGAGAAACTGGTTTCCCCAACAGCCAGGATATGTTTTTCACCCTGGACCTGGAGCCAGTAACCCCTGAACCCACCCAAGGTGGGCTCCCGGACCCTGAAGGCGGAGAAGGGACCTCTGG